ACTTTCTTCCCCTGGAGTGAACTCCACTGGATTTAGTGCTGCATTAGTACATTGAGCATCTGAACTGTGTTTATTGGTAATTTAGTTTCTCTTCAGCAGAGCACTAGGGTGTTTCTTTTCTTAAGCATGCATGTAGTCACAGAGATTGAGTTCAATGGAACTACTCAGGAAATCAAGATGATTATTTCTGTTTATTTTGCAGATATAATACTTCTGATTTTAGAGGAATAGGCTTTTCTGAAAATTGGATTTTAAGGCCACAATAATAATTTTTGTTTCTAGACATCAATCTCAAAGTATTACAGAAATATTAATACTACTAGAATCAATATTAGGAAAATTGTGTTGCCCATTAGAATTAATTTTATGAGAAAAAATTATGCCATTTACATTTGGATTAAGCTTGTAAATGTATAGAAGGCTTTTGTATACTCAAGATTCTGTATGCCTCAAATTACTTTCAATATGCTATTTTCTGTAAGTTAGAAAAAGCTTTCAGGTTTCAGTTTTTGCTCTAGTTCATGAATTCACCATAAGTGCTCTAATCCTCTAGGTTCTTTTTATGTATCTTGAACAAGAGGAATCTCACGCTACATGCTTAGCACCTGTCACTGGGAGAAAGGCTTTGGATGGAGGTCACCTGTAGTCCTCATCAGTCCTTTACTGAAGAAACCCAATGGGAAAGACAAACTTCTGCTTCCTCCCCCATTGCTTCTACTCAGGGCTTGGTACTGGGGCTGAGATTGTAAAATGTTTTTATTACTGAGGGGAAAGATCAGACAGACAGTAGCCTAAGCAAGGTGAGAGGTGATGCCAAACTGGGGGAGTAACCTACATCTGAAGTCATCCCTTCTCTGAATATGGGGTGGACCCAGGCAACCTTCAGGGCTTCCACTCCATCTGAATCATTCAATGATTCTTAGTTTTTGCAATGAACTGGAAAGTGTTGCACTTTAGGAAAAGTTCTGATGGTATTAATCTGTTTGACAGCAAAGCCCCTATGGGACTGAGTTTTATAATTTACTCACTCTCTATATCCTATAAAAACAAGGCAACAGCTTCATGCCCTTGAGTTGATTATTTCTTTTTGCTCCATGGACCCTGAAGTCTTCCTACCGTCTTCAATAGGACAAGTGTACCTACTCATTCACATTATCATTCTGTAGCTGGTGATTTCAGCCCCCCCTGGATTTAATTGCCATAGAAGAAGACAAGCTTTGACTCCAGGTTGATTGAGCAGTCCAATGTGGGAACACTCTTCATGAGCTTGACCTGATGGAGCCCTAATTATTGATAATGAGATAGTGATGAAAATTGTTCTTGATAACTTGGTATGCTGGGACCACTAAGCTAAAGTGTGTGATACCATCAATACCAGAACAGTGTACTTGGGAAGGGAGGTGGGAGGCACAAAACAGATCTACATATCTGACCATAAAAGAAGTGTGCCACACATCTAAATGCACTGTGACAGCTGATAGGTGGGGGCTGGGCTGCAACTTCAGGCTTAATACCTAAACCTGTCATTTGAAGGGGAAGGGGAAAGGGAGGGGGAGGAGAAAGGAGTGGGATTTGACTGCAAAACCTGTTTCACAAAAATGCAATAAAATTCTAAATCTCAGCTCTGCCGTAAAGTCACTGGGGCAAAGACTTTACCCAAAACAAGAACCTTCCAGTGACTTCTCATTTGCTGCCACGTTGCTTCAGAGCTAAAGGTTGATTAGCAGATACCTGAAAAACATATGTAAATAGGGTGGCATACAGACTCTAAGATTGTTGTGAAACAGCAGGGGACAGAGCTGTAGCTCTGAACGATCCTATCCTTTACTTGGGTGAAAGTTCTGGCACAAAGATCAATACAGTGAGACCACAAATAGTATGATATGGGAGAATTAATGTAAATTTTTCATCTTTAAAGTTATATTTTGGAGACTGGTGTTTAAAAATGGTCTTCTTAATAAGATGCCTGGATTCCATATGGAAACTGATATTAACATTTTATAGAAATGTTTTATAGAAATAAGATTTTATAAAATCATATAGTCATAGACTCATTTATTTTGGAAAAGACCTTTAAGATCATTGAGTTCAACACTCAATCCAGCACTCCAAGTCCATGACAAAACCATGTCCCTAAGTGCCATGTCTACATATCTTTTAAATACCTCCAGGGATGGTGATTCCATCACTTCCCTGGGTAGCCTGTTCCAACGCTTGACAACCCTTCCTGTGAAGAAACTTTTCCTAATATCTAACCTAAAGCTCCCCTGGCACAACTTGAGGCCATTTCCTCTTGTCCTTTTGCTTGTTAATTGGAAGAAGAAAGGGACCCCCACCTCATAACAACCTCCTTTCAGGTAGTTGTAAAGTCTCCTCTGAGCCTCCTTTTCTCCAGACTAAACACCCTCACCTTCCCCAGCAACTACTCCTAGGATTTGTGCTTCAGACCCTCCACCAGCCTTGTTGCCCTTCTCTGGACACTCTGGTTGTTGACCAGCACCCCCAGGTGCTTTTCCTCTGCGTTGCGCTTTCAGAAGCCATCTTGCAAGTTGAAGTCCTCCAGGAGAGCAAGGGCTAGCAATCATGAGCAATCACCATCCTAGTTGGGTGGTCTGTAACAGACTCCCACCGTGATATCTGCCTTGTTGGCCTTTCTCTGATTTTAACCTAGAAACACTCAACACTTTCATCAGCATCATTAAGCTCAGATAGCCAAAATGTTCCCTAACATACAGGGCTACACCACTGCATCTCTTTCCTTGCCTACCCCTTCTGAGGAGTTTATAAGTACCATTTACAGCAGCATTCCAGACATGTGAGTTATCCCACTATGTTTCTGTGATGGCAACTATGTCATAATTTTCCTGCTGCTCAGCAGCTTTCAGCTCCTCCTGCTTGTTGCCCACGCTGAAGGCATTGCTGTAGATGCACTTCAGTTGGCCTATTGATCTTGCCACTTTTTTGGCAGGAGAAATGCTAATTGCTACGTGACTGTTCTCAGGCACTTCTGTGTTTTCTAGAATCAATAATCCTTCTGTCTTTGCTCCCACATGGATCTCCATCCCCAGCTTCACTGAGACTGAAGGACCATGCTAGCACATGGTCCCTCAAACACTGACGTGCTGCCTCCAGGCTTTTCTCCAGCAAACTTGATTTTTATCCCTTTAACCCTTCAATTCTAGTTTAAAGCTCTTTTAGTGAGCCCTGCTAACCACAGCTGATATCCCATACCATATGGTGTCATGCTCAGCATATAAAGCTGGGTGGCAGGAGAAGGAAGAGGGGGTATTTGGAATGATGACATTTGTCTTTCCAAGTCGCCATTATGTGTGTTGAAGCCCTGCTTTCCTGGAGGTGCTGAATACTTGCCTGCCCATGGGAAGTGGTGAATGAATTCCTTGTTTTGCTTTGCTGGCATAATGGCTTTTGCCTTACTGATTAAGCTGCCTTTATCTCAAGCCACAAGTTTTCTCATTTTTACCCTTCCAATTCTCTTCCCCATGCCACTGTGGGAGAATTGAGTGAGTGGCTGTGTGGGACTGAGTTGATGGGTGGGGTTAAACCATGACAATGAACAGGGTAGAGGAGTGTATGAATGTGAACTATATTCTACCTACAGCATTCAATGTATTGATTCCAAAATATTTTTATATTGTGAGAGTCTGTATTATTTGAAGGATTTCAAAAAAGCTGGAAAAGATACCCATGAAGCAGTGGCCCAAAGACCTGCAAAAGACCCCACGTGTAATAAGGTTGGAGACTGGTTTGTTGAAAGGTCACTTGATCACAGTGTACATGTAAAAAAATATCACAAGTTAAATGTGTGTTTGGTACCTCAAGGGGAAGGGTAGCAGAATCTGATGCCTGAAACTTGAAGTGAGAAGGAAAAGCAGGAGGTATGGTGTGCTGGAACATACCATTGCAGTACTTGTGAGTTTTTGTTTTGAAACTATTCAAATTTTTTGCTATTCAGAAGTAGAATAAAGAACCTTCATTTGAAGATGAAACTGAAATAGTGTTGCATATTAAATTTCAGGTTGTACATTTGAGCAGAGGATGTGAAAGAGGTCATACTAGGGCTTGGAGAATCTTATGTGGATCTGAACCGGTCATTGGTAAGTGCAGGCTAGAGATGAGTGAAACATTTCCAATTATGATAGCAGAAAGGTCCTAAAATATCCTTTCATTAAAAGTAGCAGGGGTGTTCTGAGGAGGCTGCTTAGCTTATTAGGACAATTTTGTGATACAGTGACCCATAATAATGCTCACTGGGCTTACTTAAACATGGAGGTTCTTTTCACTTGTATGTTCTAATGAAGCAAACAGAAGAGGTCAGAGTGAATGGAGCTTTTCATCTCTACATTATGCAACTTGGTAGGATGGAGTGTTTGTGGTGCACACGCTGAGAAAGACAACTGGCTGTGCTACAGTCTTCCATTAATTTCTGTCAGCACAATACCTCTTTTTGTAGTGTTTCATTCTTGTCTGTTTTGAAGACCAGACCATGAGAGGAGAGGGTATTCAAAACGTTGTAGTCTGAGATCAACATTGCTAAAATGCAAAGTATCGCAATGGTTCAGAAATTTTTAAAAACTGAAATGTAGTAAAAATACACAGTCAGAAAGTATTATTGCAAACATCGTGGCAATCAAAAGACTTGGAGAAAGGTAAATAACTGTAAATCTCTATGTGCACCTGAATGATCCACATCTCTAATGTCAAATAGCAAGGCTGGCATGCAAGTAAACGTTTTCATGTGAACTCTATTTTTTTGTTTTGGTAGAGCTGAAATATCAACAGAAACTGCCCTCTTCCACTATTTTGACATTGCTATTTAAAGTCCATCTTGAAATCAAACTAGGAGATTATTATAGATAATATCAATTACCTATGCCATCATTTAAACAGTTGGTCCAAGTTGAAGCAAATGATTAATTTAATTAAATTCTTTCCTGAAGTTCTCTCAAAACAAAATCTGTTTGTTTTTGTCTGTGACACAGTTTAAAATCTGCATCTTCTGAAAGACTTTAATGCTCCTTCTGCTACCTGGATATCTAGTTTAACACCATTGGCTTCTCAAATGTCATGCTTAAAATAGGTTTTAACTTTCTAATACTGAGTGAATACTGTTGGAGGTAAACCATGAGTGTAGCAACAACAATAGGTTTGAGTTAGCCACGGAACACATTCCTATATTCAGCACCTCCACCCCCAAGAATATGGTGATCATTTGTACCAGCCTATGTCTCTCATATAAGACTGACAGAATTTATTTCCTATATTTCAAGTCCATAAATTGCTTGAAGAGTATTATATTACTATAATGATCCCTAGAACTAAAATTATTTCACTAGCATTCAGTCACAAAAGAAAAACCACTTCACTATGTGGTTTTGGAAGCACAAGGTCTTAAGACCTTGAGCAGGATACATTGTTTATTGGGCAGATTAGGTAAAAAGAGGTAATCATGAGGATATGACAATGAATACAGAATTCTTGGAAAAAAACTCTTAAGATTTATCTCAAACAGAAAATACTTAAAATTTGTATTCTACAGATTCAGAAAATCCACAGTTTGAATGGACTTCTTGTTCATCTTACAGAACCTCAGGTTTAACTCAATGAAGCTGATGACCTGGTAACCTTTGTGGTGTCCTGATAGTCTCCAGAATGCAAACCTTCAAACAGAGATGCTGAAAGTAAGTTCTCCTTCTTTTTCTCAGCACTGATTCTAAAGCCCAGGTATGTAATTCAAACATTTATTTTACAATCACAATGGTAACTGTCCTATACTTTCGCATGTTACAGGTAACAGACTTGTTTTGCTGTTCTATAGAGCTAAAAAAGTTTGAAAAAACCAACCTTTTGAAAGCCAGTCTTTTGAATATGTTTGAAAAAACCAACCTTTTGAAAGCCAGTCTTTTGAATATTCAAAAACAGAGAAAAAGACTGGTAAGTGTAGAGTCATAGTTTCCTCTGTTAGAAAATCCCTCAGGTTTTAATGTGTCACAACAACACTATGAGGAAGGTATGGAGGAGCTTTCATTTCATTTTGAAGTAGATACTTAAATCCACAAAGGTGTCACATTGGTGAGTTCCATTTGAAACTGGATATAGCAAAAGCCTGAATATATTTGAAAGCTTGGAGAGAGACACCTCACACCTAATTGATTTGTCTTTTACTTTTGCTAGTAGTAGCAGAAAATAGTAGAAAATTGTGCTTAGTATGGTCAGTTTTCAAAATGCTTACTTGACTAAAATTAATTAGATATCACAGCATCCTCAAAATAAGTTACTGTTCTCTGTTTATTAGCTAGTAAACTGAAAGGAGGGACTGAAATTACTTTGCAGAAGCCACACATCAAGTCAAGATTAGAACTTGTATTTCCACGTTCTCTATTTTGTGCTGTAACAGTCTGATTATACTGCCAGCAGTTTATCACCTTGCCAGTGCAGTAGTGCTCCCCTAGGCCTCCTTCTTCCTAATAGTGGTTAACTTTCAGACCATGTTAAATGCTCACTGGAAATGGGGATGAGGGGGATTGGTCAAAACTGTTACTCTCACTCTTTTTTACACAGTTTTTAAAGCTAACATTAATTTTTTTATTCTGTGAATGCCTAGAGCCATATTATACACCCAAATTAAGGTAGACCTGAATTTTTCTGAGTTGCTAAGTACCATAATGCTTAATTAAATCAGTGGAGGTATTTATTGTTGTGAGCATCCCCGAAAAGCAAGAAACTTTTATTTAGCTCTCTGAAGGCAGGCACTTAAGTCTAAAACTCATGACCTGACTTTTAAGTGATGAGACTCATTAGTAAGTGAGAAAATAGTTTCTTATATAGTATATTTCACAGTAATCCTGGGAGATTTTCTTTTCTTAAAGAAAAAAAGACAGATTTCCAATATGTAGTGTCATGTTCTGAAATCAGCGAACTAAGAATAAATGTGAAGTTTTTCTTAGATGAATTTAGTTTATCCCTAGACTTGGTAGGCAACACAAGATGCCTGTTTTCATGAGAACAAGGAATATATGTGAGATACATTGTTTTAGATGCAATGAGGCCATTTGTTAACAATTTCCCAGAAAGCTACTGTCATCTTTATCAGTTATGGGGACTGGCTTTTGCTGTATTAGGCTGACCCACTCCTAGTAGAGCAGTTCAATAAAAAAAAAATTCATCACATGAATGCAATGGAAGTTCAAATACACAATTGTAACCCCTATGTGTTAATGAAGAAAAAAGATAATACTAAATGAAAAAATAGGATTATTTGCTCTCTGTCCCATACCTTCTTAGGAAAGCTGAGACTAGCAGCCCAAAACTTTAATGCAGAAGAAGTGCTAGAATATTATAGCCAGGCCCTCAGCTCTGATGGGCTGACAAGGAAAGAATAAGCACTCTTGAAGTCATTAAAGAAAATCCTAATAAAATTCTCACACACCTTAGGTCTGTGGGATGACAGTATTAAATGTCATCCCTCTGCCTCCTGCCATCAGATGTCCAGTTAAACATCTGGATGATGGATTGCCTTTCACAAAACAATAGATCAAGGAAGCGCTTTTTACATGTCTTCCAGTTCCGTTTGAGAGGCAGTTATGAGCAAAGGAGATTTTTTACATGTTTATCTGTCCCAACCACACTATTGCTAAAATAAACCCTCAAACAGGAAAAAATTAGTATAGATATAGTCATGCCCATCAGGAAATTAATAATGAAAAAATCAAGGCCAGCACCCAGGAGCAATTACACAACAGTGCTGGTACAAGGACACCAAGGAAGAACAGCCATGGGACTCAGACCTTAAGAAAAAAGGAACAGGTAACACCTTTTCCATTAGTGCACCCTTGGCATGGGTGCAAGTGAGGGAGACCTCTCCACCACAGTCCAGCTTTTTCTGTTACCTTCTTGCAAGCAGCATTACAACTAGAGACACTGCTATAAGCAGAGCATATAAAGCAGCCATGTAATGACAGTGACTTAGTGGTCCTTTGCAGGATGAGTATAATTAACCGTGGGCACACAGCATCACATCCCCACTGCATGCAAAGTGTGGCATGTGTCAGCAGACTGTGGCTGCCCCAAGGATACTTCTGTTTCTCAAATCTTCTTCCTGCCCAGGATGATGGCTAGTAAGCTCTTTGCTCACTACAGAAATGACTCCATTACAGAAATTACTTATTTCTCAGCATTACTGAAATATTGGATAAAAAGAAAAATCTAATTAGCTAAAGATTTTTTCCTCTGCCCTATATTTTAAATAATCCTGCACAAAGGAATTTTACCAGTTTCCCCAACCCTTGTTAATATGGTCTGATTAGATATGAAAGCAGAAAATTCAGTGATTAGATATACCAGTACTTTAAATTAAATCACATCTGTATCTGCGCATCCCTTTTAGGCTTACTTACTGTCATGCCTAAATAAATGTAGCTGGACATTGCAGGCAAATGAACATCCAGATAATACGTCACATCCAAGGTCTCATTCTAAGGGGTCTGCTTATTCAATGAGGCATTAGAATTAGGTATCTGACTTGTCAAGGCCTATCAAAATGCATCAGGATAAATTTTGAGCTAACCTAAATCATCATAGTTCACCAAAACTGACTTCAACAAGTGGAGAATCTGTCCCACAGCTATTTCAGGCCTTGCAATAAGTTGCTTATGAAAAAGCTCATAGCCAAGAATTATTCATAGTATTGGGAAAATAACTTCAAACACAAAATAAATCGGACAGAATAGAAATCTCTCTACATTCACCCTGTGAACACAATGCAGAATTCATCATTTCTGAGGGAAACTTGCATTAGGCAGAAGTGCCTGCCAGAGAGCTATCTCTGACAGGTAGCAATATCATTGCCCCAGAACAATAGCTCCATGGTCAGGGCATTTTTCTAGGCACTGGGAAACCTGGATTCAATTTCAAATACAATGGGGACCACACTGACACAGTGTCACAGTCTCCCTGTGACACAGCCAGCTGGAGCAGGCAACAGTTGGACAGGTTCCCGTGTGATCCCTCAGTATCTAATGGGTTGGTTTTAGTGTGCTGTGTTAAAATGTTTAGGTGTGTTGTGTTTGACTTACAGCAAAAACGGGAACCTGTATTCTTTTACTGGGATGCTGGTGAATTTTGCAAAAAAAAAAAAAATCAGAATTGTCTCTTATTTTGTCAGGACATTTGGCAAGTCTGCTTGCAGCAGCTGGCTCATTGGCTTTGGCCTTGAATAGACTATCCAGAAGTGCCCAACTCCTACTAAAATCTAGGTCATCCATTCTTGCCATTGGCTTCTTCTCTCCAAACTGCCCTTCAAGGCCATTGTAGCATTATTTCCAGATTATGATTCAAAAAGTTTCCTTTTCTTAAAATTGCTATAAATACTTCAGAATAACTTCACCAGTGTAACAGGACTAAGACAATTTGAATAAGCAGGTTTCTCATTTGAAAACTAACTTCTCCTTCCTCTGACTATGACCTCAATGAAGTAAATCGATGACTTTTGACTTCCACCACCACAAATAATCCATTTTTAAGCCAACCACATTTATTATGTCTATTTAAACACTGAGCACACATTTATCTGAAGCCAATGGCACTTTCTCCTTATTGTGAATTCTAGTGTGTGGAGAAGAGGGAAAAAAAAGCGACTGATCTCAAGCTTAGAAAATCCAAACACTGAAAAAACAAGTTCTTCCATTGAGGTCCATCTGATCTTTCAAGAAATAAATTCTATATCTCTTCATTCTACTTTTGTGTCTATGTCTAGTGCTCATGTAGTTTATGCAGTGAACTCTCTATTTCTATACATGACTAGGCTTCTTCTTTATTCCTTTTTTTCTGACATCTTATTACAAAGTTCCTGTTAAAATTCTCTTAAAAATCAGAAACTCATCCCATTTGTGACCTTTTGTTATATTCAGTAACAAAGACACCTGCCATTTGACCTTGTCATCCAGACATTTGTCACTGTCAGCTCGGGATTCCAAAAAGGTTTTCATTTTCTTTGAAACACTGTCCTTCTCACTTTGGCAGCAAACCAATTCTTGAGAGGTCAGCGGGAGCTACTGACATCTTCACAGCCATCACAGACCAAAATTGTAAATGTTTTTTGCAAATCAAATACTAAATCAGGTACTGCAGCTGTCTCATGATGTTCTGCCTCCTAGGGAGAGAATCTACTAATCTTTCAAAAAGTAGAGAGCCAAATCAAGTGAATCAAGAGATCTATCAGCTCAATGAGACTTACTATATGGAATTTTCTGGCCTGCATTATGCAGGAAGCCAGACTAGGATGGTGTAATAGGTTTTTTTCACCTTAAAATGGATGTGTCTATCAGCCATTTCAGTGGAATCACTCAAAATGGCATCAGCTGAGGTTCTGACCTGTTTATTTCTTTTGTCCTTTTTTTCTGGGGAAGGAATGGTTTCTATGACTGTAACTCGATTTAATAACTTTAATTTTTCTTCCTTCTTGGACGAAAAAGGAAAGTTCCCCATACTCTGATATGCTACGTTTAATTATTCTCCAAAGATCAGAAAGTTTTGTGTAAGGGGAAAGGAACATATAAATGAAAAGGTCACAGGTTTATCCTGTATTGCCTCTCATGAAGAGCACAGTGTGCCTAAAAGCTTCTGGAAACTCTCATTGTATACTCAATGTTACACACATTTTGTCTCAGCATTTTTTTCCCCCCAGATTATCATACTATTCTGTTCTCAGTTACAAAACTGTGATCTTGAAATGGTTTATAATGGGATATTTAGATTTATTTTTAACATGCTTAAATATTTCAAATGCACTAAGAATTCTGAATCAAGTAGTGGGTAGATTAACACAGTTATTCACAAAATGTTTGTCTCTGGAGGTCTACAGAGTGAAGAATTTATTTTCAAACACACACACACAAGGACCTATTTTACATACAGTAAAAATAATGGAATAAAATTGAAGTCATCATTTAAAAATAAAACTTAAGATAAGAAAAAATGCTATGCTACAGTTGTCCCCTAAACAAATTGCACAAATTCTACAGTCAAATTAAATCTGAATGAAATGGAAGGTACAGAAATGCACAGTTAAGGCATTCAGAGAGTCTTAGTGTATGTCAGTGTAGTAACAAAAACATACACTAAAATCAAACTACTTGAATTTTGGTCCCAACTTGTATTAATTTGATTTAGCAGACCTAATTTCTGTGGTTTTAAATTTTCATTATGTCATTTGAGGGTAGAATTGAAGCTATTTTATTATCTTATCTGTAAAAAGTCTGATTCACTATATTTAATTTTTTTTTCAGAGTAAAATTATTCATCAAATCTAAAGAGCAGATGAGAAGTCGCTCAAAGGAGAAGACAATTGTATGGAGCAAAATGCAGACAATTGGAATGAATACACGATACTGTACACTGATCCACTTTTCTTTGTTTTCTCTTTCCATGATAACGAAATCAAACAGCCTTATGGACAATGGTCAGATATAACCGAAATATCTTTAGATATTTAGATTAGAAAGCTGGGGTTGTTCAGTCTGGAGAAGAGAAGGCCCAGGGAGCCCTTATTGCATTAATCCATCTTCCAGTGCCTAAAAAGGGTTTATAAGAGAGCTGGAGAGTGGCTTCCTTTAGGGGCATGTACAAATAGGACAAAGTAGTGGCTCCAAACTGAAAGAGAGTAGGTTTAGGTTAGATATTGGGAAGAAATTCTTTACTGTGAGGGTGGTGAGGTTCTGGAACAGTTTGCCCAGAGAAGTTGTGGATGACCCATCCCTGGAAGTGTTCAAGGCCAGGTTGGATGGGGTTGTGAGCAACCTGGTCCAGTGGAAGGTGTTCCTGTCCATGGCAGGGGGCGATTGTCATCATCACCAAGGAATTATGAAATTAATTCTTAGTATATAAGTATATATTTTATACCCTATGTATAAAATTACTATTCAATTTAATTTTTTATTGTTTAAGTATTGACTAGAGGGTTGTGATTTAGATAGTTTGCAATTTCTGAATCAAAGTAAATAACTTAATTAAATATTACATTACAGCCTCTGGGAAACATTACCTACATTTTAAGTAGAAAGGGAAAAAAGTTTGAATATATTAATGAGGAATTGCAAAGATTTATGCCTGCACTAAAAGAAACAGTAAACGTAGCCATGATCAGATAAATTTTTTTATCTAGGAGCATAAAGAATAGGACATATGCATCCATTATATCTAAACTTTTAATAAATCTTGGTATATTTCACCTTTACTCGTGCAAATGCCTTGTCATCTTCTTGCTGTATTGTAAACTTAAAGGTAGGTTTTTTATCTAGTTGTCACCTGTTGAACACCAATACAAACCATTTATTTGGACTACATTACAAAAACATACTGCAGTTTAGCTCACAGATAAGTTAGAATTATGTTAAACAAATCATTTGTGCTTCCCTGGTTGCTTTTGCATCAGTGATTCAACAGCAATTTGCTCTTTTACTAGCTAAACAGAATTTTTGTCACAGGTGCAATCTTTTCTCTGTTGTTTATGAGCTTATGCTCATAAATAATAAGTTCCTGCACTGTAATATATATAATATTTTACCAATTAGTGAGTTGATTCTTCTTTTTAAAGTAAGTTTTGGAATTAAGTTGCTAGCATTATCTACTATGAATAAATTCTCTGAGTATATAGACTGCTGTTCCGACTTCAGTGTTCTTATTAGAATGCATGGGGCTTCTTTCTTTCCAGGGGTAAAACAGAAGCTTAAACATTTGCATCATAAATCTCAACACTGTAGATGTAAACTTATTTTTTCCTTAAATTATATGAATGTGTATGATGTCACATCTTATTCTAATTATATTTTAGTTCTTTGACTGTGTTGAGTGTTTCAGCCTGGTGAGTTCAACTTAAACAACTACACAATACCTTAATTCTCTTGATGATCAACTGTGTTGGTAATTTAATTGCAACAATAGCAACTACCCCCAAAAAAGCAAGCTTAAACCATAATTCTTCTTTGTTTTCTCCATGTTTTTCTTTCATTTCTTCATTCAGTTTATAGTGTTTTCTTATGAAATATATACCCCCTGGCCTGAAAACCTATACTCCATGTCATCTGGTTTGAATATTGCAGGTGCTATGAAAATGTATTAGCATATGGGTAAATAAATAAAAAAAAACAACTCCAAAATCATTGATAGCACAGTCAAGCATATCTTGCATATTTTACCTCAGAGGCCCTTTTAAATTTTTAATAAGCTTACCGCTGTTCCTGGTCTTTAGGACTACAGTGCCGTTAGTAAAGAAAAATGCCATTTGGCATTAAAGGAATGTAAGGAATAAGCAAACAAAGAAAAAAAATGGAAAAGTTTTTATGAAAAAACTGTGAGCTTTCCAGAATAATACTGGAAAATAATTTGAAAAACCATTTTTCCTGCTCCTTAAAGAACCTAAATAAAAATGCACAGTGAATTCTGAATGCATATAAACAGGTGTTTTTTGTTTATAACTCTTCATTTGCATCTTATCTCCATGTTACAATAATAAAAAACTATTTATTTCTAGATAGGTAGCACTGAAAAAAAATTCTCTTGTTTTAGTTACAACTCAACTGGAAACATGTCATGAATAATGACCATGATATAGGGCTCCTCATGATGTGAATTAACACTTTTGCTATTAATAATATAATGATTATTTTATGGATACTTCTTTGCATCCCTGATGATCTGCTATAACATCAGTAAACACAAGTTTGCAGTTTCACACATGGTTAATACCAAAATATGGGTGCATAATCCTGCATATAAGTCAAGAAAAAAATCTTTTTAGGAACCCACAAAGGAGAACATTTATTCTTTCACCTGTATGTAGTGCTTAGGCATCCCTGTTGTGACCAAGTATCTGACCATGATGTGCAAGTGAGGAATAAAGACCTTTTATTTACACCGAAACACTTACAGTCAAAGGACAGCCCTCACAGCCTTCACCAACTTCCCTGTGGAAGGGAAAGGTTTACTCCTAAGACCCAAAAAGCTCAATATAAAATGTGAATATATCATCTTCCTCTGTTAATTCTAAGACATATGAACATGCTATCTAAACCCCAATATTTTATTATTTCTCGTTGTCATTTAAGTACAGGTATTTCAACACCTTTTATCTTGTTAAAGTAATTCTCTTCCTTCTGAATACTCTGATTTGTCTAATGCACTCTGCTGCCAGCAGCACTGAGGGACTTAATGTAAAGGATATTTAGATATGAGATATAACTGCAGTTAGGAACTTCAGCTCTGACACTGAAATAACCTTGGAAAGTCACCTTACCCATCAAGTTTTCTCACCCGAGGTCTATCTTTAGAAAGGAAAGGTTTGGGTTTCTTAGTGGTTGAGAGTGGTATGTAAAACTGGCAGGTAAAACTCTTAGCTCAGTGCAATCTTTGTCTTAGGTGTGATCAAAAATATCCATTATCATTCCATTTGTTACCGCTAAAACATGCAGAGAAAACTCTGTGTATGAATACAGACGCCAGTACTTTCACAGTGGTCTTAACATTATAGCAACAGCAGATTTATAGCAACCCATAAGACAGGCATACCTAGAACATTGAGGCATCTTGAATTTCAAGAGTGCCATCATCTGCACTTGACACTCATTCAAATTTAAATCATGTTTAATTTCTTACATTGTTTCCCTCTGGTCTAGATCCAAAAAACTTCATCTGAGAGTACACAGTATGTGGCACAGCAGTAGTGAACTTGGATCCATCTAATAGATTTGTGAAGCACTTTGGGTTTGCCAGCCCAAATGCCAACAATATTTCACTGGAAGCCTTGAACTTGGACATCATGCTTTTGTCATTTATTTGGGCTGTTGTGTGTGTTTGGTACTCACAACAGCCATTTCCTCACAGCTAGTATCTTGTGATCTGCAAATGTGACTTCACTAACCATCACTGACAGCATCTTTCTTTGTCTGCAAAGCCTCCTGTGTTCAGGCACCAGTTTTCTTTTGTTGTTGTTGAAATGTGCTTTGCTCCCACCTCCCTCACACTGACTATGTGGAGAGGCACATCTGCTTTTGTTTATAATGCCATTCATGTCAGCTGTGTTTTGCTGTTCACTTTCTTGCCTTGGCTACCTCCCAGCCTTTGTCTTCACAAAGGGGAGTGGAATGGAACCTGATATGCACTGAGCCAATTATTGGCCTGTCCTGGGGACTCAGCTGCCAGTTCAGCTGCAGTACATGGAGCACGGTATAACCCTGAGAAATGTCACCCATTCCTTCTCCGGGCTGAAGGAATTGCCAGTGCAATTAGAAAGTGTCTTAGAAGACACCAGAATATTCTGAAGTAATTTTCTTGACTGACTTTTCCCAGTTCCTGCCATGAAGAGTAAAAAGATAAATTCCTATAAAATTATTCAAGCCCCTCCAGGTGGCTGTCAGTGGGATCATCTCAGCACCTGTCTAAAGCAGAATGTATTAACTTTGCACAGGGGTAAGTTACAGGTCCACAGGAAACAGACATTAGTGCAACATCACTTGGGGTCATATTTACTGCTGAACTTGTTCACCACACAGTGGTCTTTCAATTTACTCAGTACAAAGGTAAAAGATATTCTACTCCACAATACCTTCACCGGTCCCTGCTGTTAAGCATCATAAGTTTGCAGAATCAAGCCTGGTTTGCACCTAAATATCTCTCTGCAGAAAAAATGGTGGCAATGACTCACCTTGGTGCCCACAGAGTGTATCACGGTCAAATGTGAATGTCACGGTCAAATGTGAATGTCACGGTCAAAGGTGAAAGCAGATGTTATTCAGACCAAGAAAGCAATGCCAGACCATCACACCAGCCTCATGACATCTCCCTGGCGTGTGACGGGGCTGGCCATGAGGGTCCCACCACCTGGGTACTGCACCCAAGGCCTGAAGCATCACAGACAAGTTGTGTCACTGTTAAAGTGTACTCATCGAAAACAAGCTTCTTCCAGGTAAATGGGGGAGAGACTTGATTGGTTTTCAGAAAAATCATGTTCCATGCACTGGTCTTAGCTGCAGGAAAGGAACAGTGGTACTGCACACCCTACTGACCCTCTAACAGAGAGGGCCAAATAATTTTCCAAACATGAGCTTGTGCAGTGCTGAAAGACCAAAGCATGCCTGGTTCTCAACTGATTTCGAACAGTGGAAGGAAAACTTCATCTGGTCACTTTTTATATTCCAAGTGTATTTTTAATGTATTTTAAATAGTTTACTAACTGCTTCATAGGGGTTAGCAGCCTTTTACATATGCGAACAAGTAAAATTATACCTGGATGATAAAATATGGAAAGCCCTAAGGTCTGATTACATCTGTAACCAGCTGGATCTGTAGCCGTGTAAAACCCCTGCATCCTCATTTCACACCAGAAGTTTATAGGAAGCAGGTATGCATGCATTTGACTATGTGGCTGTTATACCTGTCTTTGAAAAGTGAGAGTCCTTTTCCAGCC